GACAGTTGAACCCGGAGGCTCCACCCCTGTTTAATGATGGACGGTTTCTTTTCACAAAGATGGCCTCCTTTACTCCTCTCTCAAACCATCGTTCACATCCTGGACAGAAAGGAACGATGGTTTGAGAGAGGAGTAAAGGAGGCCATCTTTGTGAAAAGAGCAGTAAAAGGTTTTAAACAGAGCTAAAGATTTAAAAGATGTAAAATGAGCTCAATTCATTTTCTATGAGAAACAAAATGGCAGAAAAGGCTAAATATTTCAAAAAGCTAAAGTTGCACCAAGAACAAAAGTCACAGCAGGATTGTCCTGAAAGAGCCGAACGTTTTGATTCATGATTTGTTGAAACGGGTGAAAACTGCAGGACGAGGTAGATGCAGAGAAACGTACAGATGAAAACTGGATGCTTCATGAACATTCACACTTTGAGCTCCTGACTCATGTTTTCACTTTTCCTGACGGGAACAACTTTGGAAACGCGTCTTGGGTCAGTGTTTCGCCGCTCGTTGTTTCCTCAGTTGTGTTTGTGCTCGTCAGAAACGAATCCGCCGCTCGGAACACGCCAGAAAAGAGACGGAGTTTCTGCGTTTGAAGCGCACTCGGCTGGGGCTGGAGGACTTCGAGTCCCTGAAGGTGATCGGCCGCGGAGCGTTCGGAGAGGTAAAAATACTCCGGTTGATCGTGAACGATTCTTTACGTGTAGGTTTCTGTTCCTTTAATGACCTGCAAGAACACGAAGAGCTGACGGGTGCTCGTCAGACGTCTCGGTTTTCATGTGGTGTGTTGGGCCTGCCTGCAGGTCCGTTTGGTTCAGAAGAAGGACACGGGTCACGTCTACGCCATGAAAATACTCCGGAAAACCGACATGCTGGAGAAGGAGCAGGTCAGACGGATTAACGCTCGCTCGATGGTTCGCTTGATGTGTTGCGGGGTTTGAACCCGTCTCCGTCTGCAGGTGGGACACATCCGCGCCGAGCGGGACATCCTGGTCGAGGCGGACAGTCTGTGGGTCGTCAAAATGTTCTACAGCTTCCAGGACAAGATGAACCTCTACCTCATCATGGAGTTCCTTCCAGGAGGTGAGGAACCGCCGTTGGTGTGACCCATCTCATGTAATCTGGGATTAAAGCAGATTAGGTCAGATCAAGTTTTGATCTTTAGATCAACCTGAGATCATGATTTGTTTTAATCGGGCAGGGTTCCAAAAAACTCTGAAAATCAGGGAGAAGACTCCGAATGAACCTTTCTCAGGTTTTAACGTGTTTGTGTATTTGTACTAGTACTTTAGTACCACTGAGCCCATGTTCTGCTTCTACAGAGTACATGTACACGTATACTCACTGAGTGTACTTTCTGATGTTTTTACAATATAATTAACTATTAGGAATGATTGTTGTACGCACGTACTGTCATCTCTGAATGTGACTGCTCCACCTAACACGTTAAGTTCTGAACATTTCCTGTGACTGAAACATCTCCAGGACTTACTCAGGAAATATCAGAGAGCATTCTGGGAGTTTTGTTTTCATGAAATGCTGGGGGCCTGTAGGATAACCCCAGAAAAATGTCTCTGAATCAGTTTTTTTGTGTCCTGTCCTGCCTGTTTGTCTCTGCAGGAGACATGATGACGCTGCTGATGAAGAAGGACACGCTGACTGAAGAGGCCACTCAGTTCTACATCGCAGAGACGGTTCTGGCCATCGACTCCATCCACCAGCTGGGCTTCATCCACAGAGACATCAAACCTGACAACCTGCTGCTGGACGCCAGGGTGAGACATCTGCTTTCACCAACTCTTCAGGTTTTATTTCACCAGAATACACCTTCACAAAGATTCTCAACGAGTCTGACGGACCTCCTTATTGGTCCTCAACTGGGCAACCTGACCCAGTTCTTCTTCTACCGTCTGGGTAGGAGGAACTGTTTGGTGGATGATCTCTTTGTAACGTTGTTGAGGATCATTCACTGCAGCCCAGTGGTGTAGTCTACGTGATATTCTGGTATACGGAGTACACCCACTGGAAAAGCTGAAGAATTTCAGTCTCCCCACTTAAAAGTGCTCAATGATACATGACATCATTAGGCACGTGTCATTGATGCGTTAAACAACCGTTTAAACAACGTTTTGATACTGTTTTATAAATTCTATAGCATGTTTTTAATACAGATCCACTGTTGTACAAAGTTTGTTGTTCATTTATTAAAATATGAGCATCAGAGAAATTTGGAAATGTTCAATACGCTTAAAAATCAAAATAAATTGACGATTACTTTGTACTAACCAGTGTACTTTGGTTTCTAAGTACAGTATACCTGCTACAAAACTGTAGACTACACCACTGCTGCA